CTCAGCAGGAAGCCTGCTTCTCGCTCTCCCACTCCCCCTGCTTGTGTTCCCTCTCTCGCTGTCTCTCTGTCAAATAAATAAATAAAATCTTTAAAAAAAAAAAAGAAAAAGAAAAATGTCAAGCCTACAGAAGAGTGGATATATGAGTACAATAAACACTGGTATACTTAGATTCATGAATTGTTGTATTTTGCCACATTTATTTTTTCTCTCACATGCAAGTTTTATGTTGTATATATACTTTATGCACATATATGAAAATCTTTAGAAAACAAGTTGCAGGCATGATAATGCTTCATTCTTCAATTTCCCTACATAACAACAGTATCATTATCATACTAAATATATGAATATTTATTCCATAATATCATACAATACACATTTTGTGTTAAAATTTCCTTAACTGTCTCCAAAATATCCCTTATGGATTTTTTAAAGTTTGTTCAGGATCCAAAGTTCACTCAATGCATTTTAGTTATTATGTGTCATCAACTTAAGCACTTCAAAATTTAGTTACATTCTTTATAAGTTGGCCATTATTTAAATCAATGTTTTAAATTATTTCAATACTAATTAATTTCCAGAGTCTTGATCCTATGTATATATATATTAGTTTCAATTGTATCACATAGTGAAACAAATCAAAATAGAGCAACCGAAATTCTCTTAGCAATAAATCATGGATATGAAGATTGCTGTTAAGAGAGAAGAAAAAAAAGTGGGGCGCCTGGATGGCTCAGCTGGTTGAGGGTCTGACTCTTGGTTTCGGCTCAGGTCACGGTCTCCCAGTGGTGAGATCAATCCCTGTGGTGGGCTCCACGTACAGCGCAGAGTCTGCCTCAGAATCTCTCTCCCTTTGCCCCTCCCCCGACTCATGCATGCTCTCCTTCTCTCTAAATAAATAAATAAATAAAGTCTTTAAAAAAAGAGAGAGAGAAGGAAATGATCCTCTCTTTAAATATTGGGAATGTAGGGATACATTGATTGTTTACTATCAAGGCTAGGAAGTACATATAAATGAGCATATTACTTAACTGGGTCAGCTGTTAAGTCTCAACATTTTTACCCTTAAAGATAAATTAAAACATTCAGTAAGAAGAGCAGAAATATTAAAATCTCACAGGGATTATCAAATTTACAAAGTGAAACTAATCTCAAAGTTATCAATAGTGAAAAAAATCATTTTAAGGTTACAGCAAATAGTAGTTTGTGTATTCAATGGATTATATAAATCTATGGGAATACAGGTATAAAATTTTGTGTCATTTTTGTATTCTTTTCCCAAAAAATGTCCCATTATCCTCATTCAATTTTACATTTCTTCTTTTTTTAAGATTTTATTTATTTATTTGAAGGAGAGAGAGAGAAAGAAAGCATGCGCAAACAGTGGGGGGAGGGGCAGAGGGAGAGGGAGAAACAGACTTCCCGCTGAGCAGAGCCTGACTGTGGGGCTCAGTCCCAGGACCCCAGGATCATGACCTGAGCTGAAAGCAGACGCTTAACTGACTGAGACACCCAGGCGCCCCTCAATTTTATATTTCTAATACAACAACACACACACAAACTAGTGGAAGTCACTCTTGGCTCAGAAAATACAATTAATGCTGTACTCTAGAATAGCTCCTATATCAGGTTTTTACTGCATTGCATTTGCTATATTTCCAAGCCAGTGTTATTTACTACCAATCAACTTGTGAGTGCACTATATTAAATGACCACCATGTGAGAGTTCTTATGGGTGAACTAGTCATTTTCAGTCATCTAGAGAAGCACTATCATTCACAATGGCTAAATTGATTGTCCTGTGACCAGCACTGTGTTATGGTTTGCATCGCTGGGCAACCTGAATTTACGGGATCACATAGCTTCCAGACATTCTGTACAGAAAAACATTATTATGGGTTGGCCTAAATGATGAGATCAGCAAGAGAGCTATCTGAGATTTTTTGTATTTGTAGATTCCCTTTAGGATATCCGTATAGCATTGCGAAAGCTGGTAGGCAGAGTAATATTATATTTGCATGTAGGTTTGGGATTTGAGCTCAAGTTACCAATGTTTTCTTCCTTAAGTATAATCCTTCAGATACACAATGAAATCATTTTTGTTCTTGTACATAAAACACATATTTACCTGAAGATTGAACTGATTATCTTGTCTTAGAATAAAATTTCTAAGCGCATGTCTGAATCCAGAATAAATAACATTTGAGACTAAATTGCAATATTTAGTACAAATATTTAAGATACTTGAGGATGAAAGGAAAATTGTGTTATTTGCCATAAGCAAACTTTTAAAAAAGAGAAACTACTGAGCCAATGATATTTAACAACTTCATTATATCAAAGTATAAACTCCACTGATTTCCAAGTATCGCTGTAATTCTTATTCCATACAAAGGACACGTTTTTGGTTTTCATTCCTATGAATTCCTCCACGTAATCTTTGTGTTCCAGATAGGTAGACAGTACAACTGAAATAAAATAGGTAAGTTAACACTATTAAAGAAAGTTAGTATGGAAAATACAAGTGATCATTTTTATTATTATTGTTTAATCACTTAAAAATATTATATATGAGAATTTAGGAAATAGTTAATTCAGCAAACATGCTTAGCATCCACTATATGTTTAAGTTTTAAAATAATTTGGAGAACTTACATGGTATAGATATTTGTAGTGAAACTTTCAATGTGCTAGCCAAAGATGGGTGTGAGTAGGCCAAGGAATAAGATAGATGATAGAAAGATAGATAGATGATAGATGACAGATGATAGATA